AGTTTCAGTACTGTGGTCAACATTTTTATTATTTCAGAGGAAAACAGCCAATTAAAAAAAAAAAACAAAAAAAAAAATGCGTTTGCCATTTTTATTTCACCATTTTGAGGAAAACGTGGCTGCACAAGGACAACAGTTGTTTATTCAGATACAGTGGAGGAGATGGGGGAGGCACACTGTCGACATGTTCGGGAGGTGGGAGGGTGGGCTGATCTCTTTTGGCTTTGCATCGCTGGGGCCGCCGCGCTCGGCAGCCCTTCGCCTCACAGTCACACAAACCTGGGACTTGTGCTGCAGCCGATCATCTGCCCTGAAAAACATTCACAGGCTGCGCAGGCACATAAAAATCTAGTTCTTGCACAGAAATCTTGATTCCTTGGCGTTTTTGCCAAAACAGACCTTCAGTGGTGGAATCAACTGATGAGAAACAATAAAATACTGAAATGATCATTAAAAAGAAAAAAACACAATTCAAGTAGACAATGACACAAATCAACTGTGAGAGATGCTATTTTTTGAGGAAAGCTTTGTTGATATGTACAGTACTGGGCTGCGGGGACGCGCCTCACAAGGGAAATCATCCGGTGAGAGGCGATGCTTGCTGGCAAATGAGGTTGGCACTTCTACAGCAAGGTTAAATAGTGTTTACTTTCTAACATATACAGCCTATGGCGATTTAAAGTTTCTGGAGTGATGGCTTTATTTCATAAATAAAAGTCTGCTACAATTAATATTCTCGATTATCATAAAAATGCATCAAGGTCATAAGGCAGTGAAAGCAAAAGGTTTGCTCGCTGCACACAGGGATTCGGCGTGCAGGTGGATCGAGAACCATTTTTAAAAATCGTACGGGTTTCTGTTTATATCTTGCCGTTTGTTTGGTGATGCAACGTTGCATCCCTCTCATGCAAAATGCATTGGTTTCTTTTGCAGGTTGATGGTTGCGACGAGCGGCGAGCTGCGGGAGTTGGAGAGTGAGGAGCCGTTCTTCTGAGGAGTCCCGCCGGCTTTCATGAGGAGATCTGGATGTTGGATTGTGGGAGGTTGAACAGAAAACAGCCCTCAGAGTTACTCCTGGAAGAGCAGAGCAAACAGGTTGGATTTCAGGTGCAGTTCTTTTCCCCCTCATGAACAGAGGCACTGAGGGACAATGCAAATACACAACATAGATACACAAAGGCTGCTGGGGCACTTTGACTATAACTCACTAAACCATTATGTTCCCGGAGGCTTCATCAAAAAAAAATCAAACCGTCATGTTTTAGAAGGAGAGAAGAAAAGTAACGATTCTGACGTTTGAATCACAAACACAGAAACCACCATTATCTTTCTATCACGATGTGGTTTTTGATTTGAGTTTGATTCCAGTAAAATCTAAACACATCAAACAACTTCTCTTTATGCACCACGTTCAAAGAGAGAGGGAGATTTACACAATCTGCTCTTTGAGGCGTTTGGTTTCTAAATTGGGCGAGTTAAGAAGGATGAGTGAGGAATTGGACTTGAAGTGTTTCTTGCAGAGTTTGTTGGATTAAACGCAAAAGAGTTCAGGGATGGATTTGATTTGGTCAAATACAGGTGGACTGAAGAAATGTGAATATACTGTTATCGCCTCCTTCATTGGCTGCCGGTTGTTTTTTAAATCATAATTTTTAAAGGAAAGTTCAAGTGGTTGTTGTTTGTTTAATTCTTCTCTTATGTTATCTTTCTTTTGTTTTACTCCCAGGTATTTTGTTAGTTTAGTTTTATTATATTCGACCTTTTCACTCACAGATAAATGTATTTACAGAATATTCTCTGTATTAATGTTCATTCATTCTCCAAAATAAGATTCTATATAAGATACATTACTTTGTATTATTTCTCACATCCAGGAACTGAATATAAAGAAACTAGAGACAACCTCAGACACACGGATGAAGGGAGGGTAATGTTGTGTGATGAAGACTTGTGTGATGCTGAGTTTAAGTTTTAAACTCTTTCTGATTCAGTGCCACGGTTCTGTGTGTATTTACAGTGAAGGAGACAAGCATCTGAAAGACAAACATTGAGTTTCATGTTAACACAGTAATGCTCAGAAACAGAAGCTGCTCTGACACAAAGGTGTTAGACAGGGTGTACGTGCACACACACACACACACACACACACACAAAAGACTGAGGGCAAGGCTGCAGAGACAAAGCCAAGCATTCCCATCTGGTGAGTCCCACAAGTACACACATGCACGCTGGCTCGTCACACACCCTGCACTTGGGATCGCCTCAGTGAGAAACATATGAAAATCAAGCTCCAGAGACAAAGGTAGATTTGAATAAATTGGACAATGTGTCGTGTCCAGAGACAAACAAACGATGCTTCAGAGAAAAGGTGGCGGGCTTATAACGACATGCTGATGACATGAGAAGGTTCCGTCACGCAGCTCCTCCCCTGCCATAATCCTGATGTTACTGATGGAGGACATGTTGAAACAAATGGCTGCATTTGTGAAGTTTGGGAACGCTGGCTTTTTCCCCCCCCACACAGAAAGTAAGAGTGCAACTGAAAGGAGCAGGATGTCACAGATCGTTCCCCCGGAAACACGCTTGTAACATTTCAGTGATTCAACAGATGAGCTGCTGCGTCGAGCAAAACTATTGAGCACGAGATAAATGACGACACTGTTGGATAACTACCGTGTCATTTACGCAAAATTTACTTCAAATGTGTTTGTTAACCTTCTACTCGCTTGTCTGATATAATCTTTTATCTCAAATTAAAGATTATTGTACAATGATTTCTATGGTTCATAGTTATAAAACTGATGCTCAATGAATTTGAGCAAAGTTTAGAGGAAAGTTTTAGTTTTTTTGTGCCAAACGAAACTGACATAAATGCACATATCAATTTAATAATTTGTTTAGTTGGAACTGAAGTTATTTCAGTGAAGAGAGTTAAACTGAGATTGTTCACGAACCAAGATGAAAGTGGACTAAACTGTGTTTGAGCTCAGATCCAGTCAGCAGGACACACCGAGCGCTCTGAGGAGCAGAAGCCGGTCAAGCCAGTATTTAATAGCACATCACTGCCAGTGCCTTTTGTGAGGCTACACAATGTAGACACAACTGTGCGAGGAAATGTTTTGACAGAATATTCCCTGAGATGGAGGCTTAACTACTCCCACACAAGTTGTATTTCTATTTATAAGCAGATTAATAAAAGTCATCTCCAGTTTTCCACCACTTTTTCTTCTGGATGATGAAATTATTTGCATATTTTGGAAATTTCAAAGATCAGCATTGCAATCTAGATTTTTTTGTGATGATTTGCTTGTGTTAAGAGGTAAAAGAGCTTTATCATAAAAAGGGATCGAGCTTTCATCCAGCAGGGGGGAGTGTTGCAGTGAAGTTACAGGAGATTGCATGAGACTGCCAGCAGCATTACTGTAAAGGTTTTTAAGCCTTGTCATTGCGAGTTGAGACCATAATATCCGCTCTGTGAGCACACACGCACCAGCCGACCTTTTCCCTGCAGTGTGAGTGGAGCGGGAATGACAACATGATGCATTAGCTGTAAGTGCTACAGAAGCAGGGCTGTCTGTACCAGTGACAAGAAGTGCTGATGGGAAAGCAGCATGCCCGAGAATGGAGACCAGCTTGGAAAAAAAACCCAGTCCAAACTAAACGACACCAGACTACACCGGACAGCGCCGGGACCAGGACTGGGGCCTCGTGGTCTTACCTGGGTCAGTCCTCCTCCTCCCCCTCCTCTGGCGTGATCTCTGTCTCTTTATGTACCACTACTTTGGTCACTGACATGTCAGGATGCTGTTCTTTAGCCTCCTTTATGGCCTGAGCCAGAGCCTATACACGGGAGTGCAGTGCCAGAAGGGATCACCAGGGGGAGACAGAGAACGGGGAAGGGCAGGGAGGGAGCGGGAGTTTGGATTGTAAGTCACTTTCAGTCAGACTTGTCATACTTCCAGTATTTGTTACATCACGAGTTAATGTTTTGTTTTGAATGTCACATGCTGGACCTCCGAACTTGCAAAAGGGAAGTTACGGTCCTGGCGATTCACTAAGGTACGAATATTTACTTTGACACTGTTCAAACTCAATGACCGTCTTTAAAGGCAAAGGAAAATAATATCAAAAGTGGAAACATTAAAAAAAAATAAAAGATTAAAACTCTGAGAGACCTGATCGTGGTCGATTTCGGCATCTCCTGTGATGACGATCCTCTTCTCAATTCTCGTCTCTGATACTCCGCCTTTCACCGTCTGACCAACAGAACCGAAAGACACTTAAATCAGTTCACATGGCAACAATCACATTAATAAAGATTTATCAAAAAATATACAGCTGATAAAATAGCTTGAACATCTTAATCTAACTTCCAGCCCTAAAATTAATTTCAATCATCAGCTATTTTCATAAGATAACCATTAAGTTTAAAATACAAGTGCACAGATTTGTTCACTTCCTTTCCCCGCTCTTGTTTAGACACAGAGGAGCTGGAGACATATATGAGGCTTCAAGTGTTAAGAGGCCAAAGAGGCAATAGATGAACCCTGACCTTTGTGATGTGTGTGGTGGTCGTGGTGCTGGTGGTTTCTGAGGTGATGGTCTGAGCGCTCAGCAACACCCCAGGGTCAGCGTCACCATTAGTGTCAACCTGGTGACGAGCAAAACACATCGTGAGAAGTCTGTCAGTGAATATGTTTAATGAGGATTTATTTATTAATAAATGAATGTTTGTTTCTCACCTCTGCAGCCTCATAGGTGATGGTTTTTGTCTCTGTGTGGACCACAGGCATCTCTTTGGTTCCCACCTCACTGTTCTCAAGACTCTGGAGGTGAAGAAGCAAAACACAAACTCATTCAGTGAACCCTGCGTGTGTGAGAGCACCAGCAGTGCAAAAACCATCTGCTCAAGTGAAATTAGTCTGAAACAAATTGCTGCAGGTGTTCGCTGTTAACTGCACCTCTTTGTTCTTAAAATAGCACCGCAAGGTTGGACATAAAATTTTATTTGACGCAAATAAATACCGCATGCTAATAAACTAAACCAAAGGCGCTCGTTGTCGGGCTTAAATCTCTCAACCAGCATGCAGTCATGCATTAGAAACCCCTAATTCAGTGAAGGAAAAGATACTGGAAAGTGCAAATCACAAGGTTTCGATCAAGTGTGTGCACCACATCATATCACATGTCCCCTGATCTGCTCGGTGACAAACTGTTAATTTAGGAAGCGGAGATGCAGATCCATGCGTTCGCTGGAGTTTTGGCCCTTGATTATTAGCGGCAGATTGTGTCAGCAGGAGGTGGTGGTGAGGTTACAGGGCCGAGGGGAAGGCCGCTGGAGCCGATGTGGGGTTACCTCCGACTGAGACATGGCTGGAGGTGAAGGGGTGCGTGGGTTTTCTGTGGGTTCAGTCACGTTTGTATCGTGTTGGCCAGACGTCCAGTCTTCCTCCTGCGTTGCCTCCTCCAGTACTTCAGATTCAGAGACCACAATGTCTCCACCTTCTGTATCATTTTCATCGATTGAGTCTTCTTCTAGTTTGAAATTCAGTTCTTTGTCATTGAACTTCTCTTCTGCTTCTTCTTCCTTTGCATTCATCTCCTCCTCCTCCTCCTCCTCCTCTTCCTCTTCCTCCCCCTCCATCCTCTCAACTTCATCATCTGAGCTGTCTGTCTGTGGGTAGTGGTATTTCTCTTTTTCAAAGGACAAAGATTTCTGGATGTCTGCAGAGGTCTTTTGCTCTTCATCCTCTGCTGGCGAACATTCATCCACCTCTTCAATACCATTTTTTAACTCTGTGGGAACCTCTTCTTCCTCAAAGTACTGCACCTCATGAGAGAACTGGACTCTCTTGCCTATGTCTACTTCTGCCTGATTTCTCTCCTTTGCATGTTTTAAATCTGTCAGTTCATACTCCAAACAACTCTCCACTGCCTCCTCTGTTGATGAAAACTTCTCCTCCTTTTCACAACCTCCTATGTAAGCAGGAGTTACAATGAAATTTATACATACATTTTCATTTTCTGACACCAAAGACTCCCTGTCAACACCTGCATTCTCCCCCTCCTCATCTATTGCTTCCTTATTTTCCATTTCTGCGGGCTCTGGCAAAGCACTGCTGTCAGAGAGACTCTCATCAAACCCCGGAGCTGTTGCTACTGGCTGCATTTCTGCTTTCACAGATGCACACTGTTGAACTTGCTCTGAAGACGGAGCAGAGCCAGGAATAACACATTTTTCACAATTAACTGAGTCAGCGGTTGGATCTGCTGAGCTACTGTCACTACTATCCCTGTGTAACATTATTATGCAGCCTAACTCTCCCTCTCCAGGCTCGGCTGACATTATTGTGACTGCGAGCTCTGCTGCGGTGTGCGCCGATTCGGCTTCAGCAACCTCTGTGGTCTGGATATTCACCGTTGGCCCAGTGGACTCGGCTGGCCCCTCCTCCGTCTCTGTGGCAAGCACCGTCTTCTGCTCTGGATCAGCTGGTGCCTGTGATTGATAATCGTACCGTTAGATTTAGTTTTTGAATATCCATGATTTAAAAACACAGTGTACTGCAGATTCACATATACCTGATGGGAGAAACATGGTTACGTTGATTAGCAGAGTTCATTATGTTCAACAGGACTGAGTTACATACAATAGGCATAAATATCTAAAAGATAAATTATGAGGACCAGAGAGGAGTGGTCACCTTTTGAGAGGAGGAAACCCATCCCAGCGTAGACTGATGGAACAGAAGGATAGGAGGAGAGAAAGAGAGGACAGTCAAAAGTCACAGTGAACACAAGACCAAAAGCGAAGGAAGACGGGGAAAATGAAAAGGTCTGAAAAGTAAAATTTTATATGGAATGTATGGAATACCACAAAAGATCATTAACCGCTAAACTGGTGAAGCTAAAGCCAACGAATTGTAAAACAAACTGAAAGTCTGGTTTCAGAAATGCTGATTTCAGCTAATCTGCCTTTGAAAAACTTTTCCCTACAAGCAGTGAAACGTCCTTTCAGGTAGATCCATACATTTTATCTGTTAAAGAGGCAGAATGGGGGTTTTGGAGGATGAGGTGGGGAAAGCTGCTGTAGTGGCACTGAGCCAGGGCTATGAAGTCACCTCTTTCAGGAAACTGAAAAGAAAGAAAGGCATGGTGTAGCTGAGCCAAACTGTAATAAACATTTCATCCTTATCAGCTGCGGGAGCCAGCTGCTAAGGCGGGGTGAACTGTTTTAGCTGTCAACAAACGGAAAACAAACACAAAACAGTTGTATCAAAAAGAAGCGGCAGGTTGGACGGCAACACAAATCAGCAGCTTTGCAAGTGTGAGAGTAAACGCTGGGTGTTAAAGGTGCCGTTAGCCATGCACAGCGCTTGGTTACACTGTTAGACTGGTTTGGCTGCTGCTGGAGGGAAGGCAATGAGGGTAGGCTGCAGGTGGTGGTGGAGATATGGAGGGAGGCAGCCCTTGATTTTCATACAGTACCACTGCTATGGTTGTAGTCGAAGATTCCGGAATTGAGTTTTGAGTGAAGATGGACTTTGACTGTTCGGTCTGGACGACTTCTTCAAAGGTGAAGAATTCTGCTTTCTGCTGCAGGCTGTCACACTTCATCACCTCCTTGACTTCCTCTGCAGACACACTTATGACCTCTGATGCCTCAATCTTCACCTCCTCAGAAATCCACGATGCCATCGCCTTTTTAGGCGAATCAATACCTTTATTCTGAGTCATGTCATCAGCTTTTACATCAATCTTCGGACTCAGAGTCTTGACTACTGTCATTTGGGCTTCGATGACAACAGCACTGTCTTCTTTGATAGTTTCTGTCTCAATAGAACTGGAGAGTGAATCCTTCTCTTGAGCTTCTGGCTCTCCAGGGACAACGGGCTCCTCTTTTTCACCCAAAATGCTCATCTCGCTGCCCTCAGTGTCTAATCTATCCTCTTTCAAGATTATAAGTGTCCCTTTCTTGTCAATGATGGCCTGGGACACTTCCTGTCTTACAGCTCCGGGGCTGACCTTCAACGCCGACCTCTCTGACACCTCATCTTGAGAGTCGGGCGTTTTCTCCTCCACCTCCCTGAGGGTCCCGTCCATGAAGACGTCGTCATCCATAGTGGTTGACAGACTAATCCCGTGAGGCCCCGAGGAGGTGGCCCCATCTGTTACGATACTATCCGCCACGTATTTCACCAGATATCCTGCGGCCTGGGAAGACACTTGGCTCATTGGTAATGGGTCGTTCGAGTTAGTTAAACAAAGGGCAACACACAGCCAATACATGGCAAGAATCAGAAAGAGAGATTAATATCAAAAGACACTTAAATTGAGCTCCATAAGTAATCGAACAGAGATACTGGAAATTACTTTAAACTTTTATACTGCAAAAATATGGCAGAATGGTTACTTAAGGACTGTCAAAGGGAAGAATAATCAGGACAATATAACCACAGATATTATTCAAAAAAGCTGTGATCATATTTTAAAACTACTGTAGCGATTCCTCCAAATCACTGTGGACAACAAACAATCTTTTCAGACATGAACTCTGGACAGTTATCTTAAAATTGCCCGTCACATATGAAGAATGCAGCAGGAGATTATCCAGGTCACACGTGTTCTGAACAAGATAACGTTTGGAGCATTTAGGCAAGCGGTCTGGGTGGAGCATGTGGGATGTAGTAATTCTGCTGCTGAAATCACGTGTTTCCGTTTACAGCAAGACACCAGAGTTGAGACTTATTACTAAAAGCTCTTCAATCTTTCTAAGTTCATATCTTCGTTTGCATCTTCTACATGTGTGACACCTCTTTTTTTCTCCTGAGATTTGATATTCATTTTGTCAACGTGCCCTCTCGCCTAGGTGAATTTCTACTAGGGGGAAAATTCTGGAGAATGTCTGGAGCAGCTGACTCAGACATTTGCGTTCTCACATGCAGCATCTCCGAGGAATTCAGGAGATTATCCAGAGGTCATTTGCATGTTTGAAAGCAGCTCAAAAGTTATGAGAAAAAAGGTGGATAGAGGAAAGAAAAATGGCAGAAACGCTGTTATTTTACAGCACATGTTAAGTCATAGGAGCCAAAATACCAAACACGGTTCTGCTGTCCATCTACATCGGGAGCGAGGTCGACACAAAGAGCAACAAACAGCATCAACACTCAAAAAACACAAGTTTGAGAAGACACAAACAAACTGGAGGCATTTTTTTTTTACCTCAGTGGCTTTAGGCTCCATCTCTTCTTTTGTGTCCTCTCCTGCAGGTGGCTCATCTTTAGTCTGCAGAGGAATCAAAAATCCAAATGTTAGACACATTGAAACAGACACATGAGGAGATAACTACTGTTACATCTTCAAATGGACAAGATCTGGGTCTCAAGGCTCCTGCAGAGAATCAGTTTTCTTCTGCTATCAGATGAGAAGCATTTGATGTCAGTGATTAGGCATCAGAGGCTTCGATTAGCGTCGCTCATTAGTCCTGCACAAGTTCATCAGATTGTGTTACACAATTTAAGTAAAAGAAGAAACCCCTTTAAACTTCAGTACTGTCACTGATAACCATATTTTCTGATTAATGACTTCACTTTCCATAACTGAGATGAATTTATGTGCTAATTAGCTGCTGAAGACATAAAATAATAGTGGCAAAGAAAAAGACATTTGCAGGATTACATGTACAACTTTATATCACTTTGAAAGAGTTGCCCATATTCTCCTTTAATGTGCACCAGTGCCATCTGAATATACTGTCCGAGACACTTCTCTATATAAAAACACTATTCCCGTTACTAATATTGAATTTATTGCACTAGGAGTCATTATGCGATGACTCCCCAGATGTCTTTGTTCATAAAAAAATCTCCTTGGTGATGTCATTCCTCACACACACACATACACGCCGCCACTCAGTCTGCTGGAGACTGCAGCTTACATCCTGCAGCTCCAGAGGCTCTATCATGGGCGCTTCATCTGCCCTTGGTGAGTGCGCTGGGGATGAGGAGAGTCTCTTCTCCCACTCTGTCAGGCCTGGCGTGCTGTCGCCAGTCTCAAGGAAGGAGCGCTTCAGTTCGCTGATATTGGTTTGGTGCTTGACCATCTCCGCCGGAGGCTCGGTGTCCTGCAGTAGCCGGTCAACCATGATACAGAGAGATGAGGGCACGAGCAACGCGGAGAGAACAACGGCCATGCTTTATCATCGCAGCGGTAGCTTGCATATCCGATGAATTACGCCAAAAAAATGTTGGTAGCATAAAATGCAGTTCTGAAAAGGTCTGGAATCAAAATGTAAACTGACACAGACCTGAATCAGATGCAGTATGCACTTTATAATTCTTACATTTCTGGTCACAGGCCTGTTTACGAGGCTGTGCAGCAGATCAAACAAACAGCAAAGTAACAGCAAAAGATCCACCCACATAGCAGATGTAACTACGAGAGCAGCAGCTTGTACTTAAATGCTAACAGAGCATTTAGGACCAGCTGAATTGAAATGAAAAAATAAATGGCGTCATGCATATATTTACTGATGTAGTTTTACAGGTTTAGTTGAGCACAATACTCCCAAATCTCATTAGAAGTCAATGTATTTCCACTGATTTTATTCTGTTTAATTTCTCACAAAAACTTATTTTGATGTTCACAGCAAGAACTCTGTTAGAGAAAAGTTAAATAATAACCTCTCATTCACACAGGAACTCCGGAAACCATATCTGTGATCAGTCCTGTTATTGGTTAGGATTCCTCATAACAAAAACACCTGCATGCATATTTCAGTCATGCATTGTTTTCTTACCAACCTCTAGCATCAGATTACTATGCCTGATAAAAACGTCCTCCCCTTTTACTCGTCTTATGAAACTATACTGTAAAGACAAAGAGGGGAGAGGAATTGTAGACAAGGCTGTTTTGTTTTGTTGAATTTAGACTCTTGTTAGGAGAGATGGGAGCTTTGACTTCTTAGACGTGGCTGTCAATGACACGAAGGTAAAAAAGTCACTGGATAAAACCTTTAAAACTGTGAAATCTGACTCTTGGGCAAAGCAGAAGGAAAAGAAATGTGAACATGACCACTTTTTACACAAAAGCACTTGAGAAATGAGCTGGAATGGTGTGTTCAGAAGCAGCGACAGCTTTGCAGCAGCAGTCTGTGAAGTGAATTCAGGCAAGAGTGAATGGTCAGTCTGGTGTGTGGTATGATAATGTCAACAGCAGCAGCAGCAGCAGCAGGCAAGCCAAGGCGGCAAGATGACAAAGAGTGACGGATGGCTGATGTCTGTGAGGCTCAGTGCATCTGGTGGTGGTAGTGATGGTGGTGAGATGCACTGAGCTGGGCCATGAAGCGAGCCCAGTGTACCTGAGTCCGCATCTCAGAGTCGTCCTCTGCTTCCGACTGACAGCAAGTAAAGAGGGAGAGCACAGAGAGTGTGAGACGAGGAGGAAAGGAGCCATTGCTTTAAGAATGTTAGAAGAAAGTCAAAGGGACAGTCAAGTGAAAGAAAGTGTTTAACAAGGAGAAGCGAGCAGAGAGACAAGAGGAAGTGACTGTTTGCTAAACCCCTCCCATGAACAACAGTTATCAGATTATGGATTAGCAACCACAACAGGACTCAGCAGGCCAGTCAAGAGTAAGAGTGACATTGCATTTAGTTTCCTGGTTAGTGTAGAGAATGGAGTAAACAGTGCACTTGTCTGGTCAAACATGAGCTGCAAATATTACCAGAGGTACCTAGTTTAAAGTTGTGCGACGTCATCATAATGTTCAATCAACATGTGCATATGGGCCACACAACTTGGAAGCTAGAAAACGAATTTGTGTTATATGTCACAAATCTTTCTTCAAATGAAAGGACACCTCCTTTGAGTTCGATATCCAGTTCCTGAAATGCATGGATTCACTCGACTCACTGAGCTACGAAAGTTGTCATTTCAAACTGTTAATATTTAATGTTTGCTGGCTATGAATGAGAAGCCAGAGTTCTTCTACACTTGTATGAAATCAACTGTTTCACATTCTACAAATTGAGTGGTATATCTGCAAATGTTTCCACCGTTTATTTTGTGCCAATCAAGAACAAAAAAATGACCAGATTAGCATCAGTCGTGGGATTGGGTTTGGCAAACAGTCAGTAGTTTTGTTTTTAGAGACATTTACATGAGGGAAAGAGTGTCACATTCCATTTTAAGTTTAAAATACATTAAAAAAAGAAAATAACTAAAATGACTAACAGGATGCAATGCATGCATAATATGCAGATCTTCAAGTGCAGGTGTTGTTTCACATTTCACAACTATGATCCAGCATCACTTTTTTTCTCTCGTCTTTATCTGTGTCTTTCATGCCGGAAATACAATATTTTTCTCCGATGTACAGACCTCTGTGGCGGTCATCTCTCCATCAAAGGCAAAGTCAGTTTGCTCGCTGTCGGTCTGCATTCACAAATGCACCGAGACCGTTCCGAGTGGCAAGCAAAAGAGGAATGACAAGAACCCAACTTTTAAATCCTTGAATACATTACTCATTGACAAAGATTCTTCATTACCAGAGATGAAACAAATGGAAATGCACCGGTCGTTTCTGTAAGCTTCAAAAATACAACACCAGACAAGACTATATAGATAAGATTAGCAGTGGAATAACACAAAGATAAATAAAAGAAAATGCAAAGTAAGCAAGCAAAACAGACTCAGAGGAAGTTGAAACCTTCGGTCGGTCACTTTGATATTCTAACAAAAATATTATTTCATTTGCCTCAGATTCGAAAGGACTATATTCTGGTATACAGTTAATGAAACTGACCAAATCTGTGTTGTGCAAAAAAACAAACCACGATAACAACATGTGATTTTGAAGTTTGTTTGTTGACGAACAGTAACCTGACTTTCAGGCCCTCCCCCCTCCTCTCCATGCATGTTGACACTGAAGGTGATGTTGATGCATTTGAGAATCACACTCTCTCTGCATCACATGGATTTGGATTTGATTCTAACTGATGACATTTGAGGGAAATATCTCATCTTGGCAGACCGCAGAAAGCTACGTTGTTGAAATGCTGAGAGCTCTTTTCAGCACAGTTTCCATTTAAATGATCCATTTTGTTTGAGCCTGGGTCAGGCAGCGATGCAGAGAGACTGAGAGCTTAGATCGATATGGAAATGTTGTCATGCAGCTGGTGTTGATCTTGTAACAATCACTATCTACACTTTTTAGCCTTGAATGTGGATATTATTGAGATGAGTTAGGCACAAAGCAGTGTTTTTAAATTTGAAGTAACGTGAAGGATTAGTGACAAAAATGGAGGCCGACGACTTCTTTCAATCTTAGTGAGTATTAACATTCAGTAAAATAATTAAACGTTGGCACGATTATGTGTTTTACAGTGCAGCGGTATTTCTTGGAAATGTTTAAACATAAGTAAAAATGTTACGCTGGTGAGTAAAAGTCATGAGTGGTGCTCACTGTCTGTGTCGAACCCTCTCATAAAAGGTGACAATCAAATATGAAATGGTGAGACTTGCAGGTTCATCTCTGTGCACTCGTGATGTTGATGGGGATGCGGTCTACAGGATGAGAGTGACTGGGCAGAGATGAGGTTCTGAAAGTAGGAGAACTGACAGACACTGGGACAGACAAGGTCTCCAGGTCGGCTCTGAACTGGTGGAACAGCAGAGCGAGATACAGGACAGGACAGGGAGTTAACAATCATAATGAACTGTACGTCTAAGCCAGAGGCCATTACTGGAACATAAAGTCGTACGCACACACACCTCCTCTTCCTCTGAACTGTCATGGTCATGGTAGCCCTGGGCTATGGAGGCGGTCAGGGAGGCTGCCTTTGGCTCCAGGTAGCAGAGGCACAGCGCCAGGGGGAAGGAGAGGGTGAGAGCGTAAGGGACGGAGAAGGATGTGGAGAGCAGGAAGAAAAAGATGAAGAGGAAGCAGGGGATGAGTGACGGTGACTTAATGGGGAGGAAGTTCTGTGCACACTCAGGGAGGAAGCGCATCTCTGACAGATCAGGGAAGGTGAGGTAGCCGTCCTCATCCAGCATGGAGGACAGGTCAGGCAGGTGCAGGGAGAAGGAGAAGAGCGTACCGCCGCGGCTCTTGCCCTGCTCCAGCCTCTGCTTTCGGGCCGAGAGCAGCAGCGCCTGCTCCTGCAGCAGGGCAGCTTTGCGATCAGCATGGGCTTGCCGGCGGCGGCACCCATTGCCGTTCTTGGCAGGACTGACTGATGAGGCCCGTTTTCGTACATTCTCCCTGCGCCTCCGCCGCACTTTAGTTGATGAAACAGGTGATGAGGGGAGTGAGAGCTCGGAGCGGAGAGGGTCAGTTGTGTATACACAGGGAGAGTACTGACGGAGGGTAATGTCAACGAAGGGATGACGTGTGTGTAAATGGAGAGGAGCGAAAGGGGAAGGGGGCGAATACGCATGAGCACACACGAGTATAGTGTGGGGTCAAAGGAAGGACAAGAAAAGAAAAGCTAATTAGTAAAGCGCACACAAGATGAAAGCACTTAGGCCTAGCCTACTGCAGAGGGTTAAGCTGAAAGCAACTAGGAAATTCTATTCAGCCATTACGTTATTAAAGAAAGTTTATTAAGGAAAAAAAAACCAACTAAAATCTCAAAAAGGATTAAAAAGAGTTGCAGCAGCTTCTCAGGATCATGATCCGTCTCTTTGAAAATCCAAGGGCATATTTACCAATATTACCGCTCTTTGAGCCAAATACAAAAACACTTCAAAGCCTCTGAAAGGTTCTTTAATCTGAATGAAACGCAGCTCTGACTGCGCTGAAGGTGTCTGTACACAGTGGATTACCTTTGTGTCATGTCTGAGCGGTGTCGTGGCAGTGGGCTCCAGTGTTTCCGCTTCATCCATCGCAGTGTCTTCCTGCTCCGCCTTCTCTTCCTCTGCTTTCTTCTCGGTTGTTACCGTGGTGATAATGTCCCCCTTGGCAATGACTTTGGCTGCGCCATCAGCTGCAGTGTCCTTCATCAAAGTCTCGTGGTTCTCCATAATGGGAGCTGAAATCCAGAGGACAAAGATGGATGTGAGGGGCCAGAATATTTTTATAGACACTGAGGGTCCGAGGAAAATCTGTGAGCAGGGAAATAAAAGGTTTGATTTGCTCCTGCACATTGATGTTATGAGGTCCTGTGACTTTGTCACTTAACTACATAAGTGTACTAGATGTTTTAGCTTTGCCAGCTTTCATTTTTCTTGCTTCCTGTTTAAAGAAACAGAAAAGTCTCACTTTTAACAAAGAACATTTGATGTTGTTTTATTGTGCAGGTGACAGAAACAGGGTTTCTGCTCTAAACAAACTGGATAACTAAACAAAAGTCCTGGAGTTGACACCATTTCAACTCTGATGGCACTTGTGGCCAGTCAATGAAAACACAACCACAAACAGCTCCTCACCTCCATCTAAGCTGAGGGACATGTTGTAGCGTTTGCTGGCTGAGCGCTCAAACAACGGAGCAGGTCTGATGATTTGGGAGCTGGCTCTGCGGGTCTGAGCCTGCGTTCTGCCACTGTAGCGAAACTTGGAACCGAGGCTCAGGAACTTCTTCGGAGGTGCCTCTGGGGACACGAGCCTGTCGCCAGTTACAAACACTCACATTAATCAACAAGAAAACAAAACATCAATTTAAGCTGCACACTTTGAAAAGAATTAGAACGCCTTCTAATTTGAATACTCTCCAGAGAGCCTTTGGGCTTGACTCGCTACACAAAAGAACCCAGGAGACCAATTTTTGCCTTAAGCAGCACAAAGCTACTCTGCATGTTGTCCAAATGACAAGAGCTACTAACAAACTGAGCACAGTTCCACTAAATCAAGCATTTGAGGTGGTTATCAGTTCATTTATGTTTGCATGGCTGGCAAGGTCACTTTAATGAAACAATAGCAAAGAGCTGGGGAAACAAAGAAGCTTCTGTTTGACGAGTCCAATAAGTCAAAATTCTTTTCCTTTTCTACAAAGGCAGATTTTCAATCATCATCCACTTTAGGGAGGAATAAAATCCAACCTTTTATCTTAAATTACAAACCTTCTGCTATGTGAGAAACAGTTTCCTTGTTTATGTCTTACCTGAAAAAGGTATGATGTTCAACACAGACCTTCCACAGCCTTTTGGCAGCGCGATGATTTGGAAGCTTGAAACCGATTGTGCTTTCAAACTGTTCAAACTGCAACACAGATTAAACACTGTAGTCAGATTCTCTTACTCTGAACTTTCCTGTAAATACATCCATCTAATCTATCTTTTTAAATTAACTATCACGAATGTCCTCTTTACCTCGCCGGGTCGGATTTTAATGTAGAAATTGTTCCTCTTGTAGGAGATCTTGAGGATTTTGGGCCAGGCGAACCTGTTGATCCGCAACCGGTCTCTGTAGATGAGGAGGCCACTTGCACAAACGCCCAGCATGATCTCCACACCCTCCGAGTCCTGCAGACATTAACAGAGACACACACAAAAAAATAACAAAGAAAATGCACAAAAAAGAAAATTAGTTTAGTGAATCTCCTTATTAATGTGTAACGTTGGTAGAGTAACACTGAATCCCTGACAAAGGAGAAGCTTAAGAACAACAATGCTCTTCTTCTCCTGTTCTGCTAAAGATAAACTCTTATTCGACAAACTCTAAGGTGTATGGAGGTTTTCGGGAGCCCGGGCACAGCAGGGTTATGTAGACTTGAACAGAGCTAACTTGTGATAAGAGAAGGGTAAAGCAGGCAGGTGATGAAATAATGAGTTCAGGCATACTCTAATCTTCTCTATGCAGGCTGTGTTGCTGTTGAACGGTGATTCAAAAGGGGCACAAAGTGAGTGAGAGTTGGCAAAAGCGACAGTGAAGTCTTGGGAAATGGTGGATGAGGCACAAAATGATGCTCTTCACTGCAGAAGCATGAGATGAGCAGGTGAAACCAGTGATAAAGGTTTGAAGAGGGAGGCTCTGGCCCCAAGCAGGAACAACCAGTCTAAAATAACAATGGGATGTTGAAAGTGACAAATTTGTATGTAACCATGCACGAGAAAAAAAACACACACACGCACTCACACACTTGGGTAAGCACATGAGATGCAGCCTCTTACCTCTCCCAAAGCTGGAGCCAAGCTTTCATAGAGACTCCCTACCAACTTTGCATTTAATGAGAGAGGAGAGAAGACAAAAGAGGGATGCTGGTCTGATATGTACATATTTTTCTCGTGAATCAAAACGGTGTCTCATAGAAGCAACGCTGAGCATTGTCGTCGACTCAGTTTGATCAAGGCCGATTCCTCGTCTCTGTCATCTCCTCCATTCTGATCTAAATCTGCAAAGGCAATATCCTCCCCATCACTCACATCTACACCCATTTTGACTTTCAAAGCGCTTTGGATAACAGATTCATATCAAGACTGATGACTGTAATTTTCTTTTATGATGACAGTGGTCCTGCTGTCACATTTCAGCTCTCTCTTTACTGCCTGTGTTCTAATGAAGTGTTTGATCCCATCTGGCTGGCACACTAGACGAAAAAAAGAAAGAAGCCGAGCTGGGCTCTAGATCCCACCCCATCCCGCCCCTTTCTCCCCCTACTCTTTAGCCCCAGATCCACGGAGGTAGAAGTGAAATAATGTCAGTCAATCTGTGGTGCAGCAGAGGCGTTTCTGTGACAGCCATGATGTTTCTGAAGCAGCGGTGCTGTGGTGGGAAGCGTCGCTACTGACTGCATGATTGCGATGTGTTAGATTGCATAGAGAGAATACAAAGCATATTCATCAGATTACTTGAAAACATCTTAATGCAGCTCGGAGGCACTGACTGTTTCTGGAGACATTAGGTTAACAAATAAAAAGATACCACTCACGATTTTTATGGTTGATATAAAGCTGCACCCAGCAGCTGGTTAGCTTAGCTTAGCATAAATGCTGGAGACAGGCATTGTGATTTAATTTTAGGAACTGTTTTGATAAACTTTATACAAGCAGTTAAAAGTTCATATGACGTGTTACCTTGGCGTGGTGGAGGTCCACACCATACATGGACAACTTCTTGGCGTTTTCCAGGAAGTGTATCTCCGCTTCGGCCGGTGTCATCCCCCTGATAAAGACGGAACCAACCAGACATTAGGAGTCAACAAATTGAGACAAGAAGAAAGATTTGATGCTTTCAGACCAAAGTTATATTCAAGACCAGTCCTGTGAGATCTGAACAGGGATACTTCACAGATTTATTGTATAAAAGCTTTCAGGGAAATGGTTGCTTTTATGGATGCTTTCAACTGAAGCGACACAGATAACCGTGAGTGCATCCATTTTTAGCATAGAGGCCTTCGGGGAAACTCTAATCCTGGCACTGTCATAGCCTCGCTCCACCCACAGGGCGAGACAGGACTGCATTAAATTACACACAAATCACTGTAATACAGAGAGAACAAGGGGCTCAGACAAAAGGACAGCCAGCTGGAACCATTTATAAGAAAACACAAATCCAGTGTCTACAGACGTGTTGCCTTTCAAAGAATATTATTAATCTTTAATGTGACTCAAGTTAACCTGACTGACTAAAGGTTTTAAAGTTAAAAGAACCTGAAAAAAACATTTTCCAAACCTGCATCAAAATATGAGCAACAGGCTTTAGTGGGAATTTTCTGCTGAAGTTAGATGTGTTCTTTTATTTTTTCATAGGATAAACAGTTTCTCATTTCGAGGGTTTGTGCACAAATCAAAGTTTAGAAACATTCAAATCTGAGGAGTGAAGAAATTTGTTTGGTTGTATTTCAGGCCACTTTCAATCAAATCTGATTACAACTAGAGCCTTGCTGATAAATCGGTTCAGTCATTGTGAAAACCTTTATTTTACACAGTTAAACAATATATCAAAGATTTTGCATTTATACTTTGTACTGTAGATAAAAAAAAAAACATGTTTCTTTTCTTAATTCAAGATCTATATATTTGGTTGTATTTGTGTTTTCTTTATATTTCTAGTCTGGTTTAGTTTGTGGTTAAACAGTAAAATATCAAGCCTCAATTCCATTTCTTCATATATTTCCCTTTTCTTTTTTATATACATATGTGTTAGTACTAGAAATATTTTACTCCCATATTTTACTCGAATATCTGGCTCTGAAAAATCTATAAAATTAAAACCTCACTTAAAGTGAAGATTGGATGTTTTTGATTATACAAAAAACAAATCTTTACCTTTTACTAGAATGATTTGAAATAACTTTTTAAAAGATGTTGTACAATTTGACTGATAAACCATCCAGGTCCAGGGCTGTATGAAAAGATAAAGCTATGAAAATAGTTTTATAAATAAAGTGGAGACTAACTTGTAGGTCTTGTGGAGTTCCATGACCTTCTCTTCTAGCTCTTTGGTCTGGTTGGGTGCAAAGCGCAGTTCGCTGATGTAGTCGCTGCCCAGTTCTTCAGGGTCATAGTCTCCCAGTTCAGACTGCACTGCGTAGGAACCCAGTACTGTGTGGGTGGCGAAGGAGCAGGGCAGGCGACCTGAAACCACATCATCTCTAAGCTGCAGGCACAGATAGTACCTGTGTGAGGAAGAAGAGACACAATACAAATCAGTAAAACATTTTGTCTGGATTTCCTTGAAAGCCTATCAGTGGTATTTAATGTCATTGCATGCAAATAATCAATTATGCTCCCTTTTAAACTACATTTTTAGGCATCAAATCAATTAAACTAAAACTTAAAAACCCACAATTGCATTACTAACTCACCTTGTGATATCCTCAGTGAGCTGGGAGGGATCTGGGGGGTAAAACTTTACGTTGAATGCAAAGTTCCAAGGACCAGCTGAGACATAGAAAAGACATTGAATTATTAAAAGCAGCACTTTCGAGGTGATACACCTCATTTAATCAATCCACTGGATTCAGGAGGATATGAGACTTACTCCTTATCTGCTTCTTCAGTTCCTTGGAGGGGTCCAGCCAATTCTGCAACAGACAACCACAGACAAAAACATTCATCATCACCACTTTATGAGCATATTACTAACGACTGAAGTTCCTAAGTCGGACATTCTGGCTGTCTGAGAATGTTTAGCAGAGTCATCATATAATTTCCCTACATAAGGACTTTAGGAAAGTTTTAGTCAGTCTGGTTTCAATGTGGATGCATTTTACTCCACTAACTTTAATTTGAGGGTTGTCCCTAATATGACAGTTAAGATGATAGTTTGCTGAAGTACCTTCTGGTTCTCTACATCTTTGTGTGTGATTCCAAAGTAGTCTCTCTCCAGCAGATTGAGGTGATCGCATACTTTGTCAAAGAGCACTTGTCCCCTGGCTCGTTTCTGTGACAGGGGAAAAAAAACATTCAGCATTCAGTACTGTCATATAATAAAAAACTGAAAGCAGTGGGAATATAAGAAAGAGTGATCAGACTGAGTTTTCTTTAGAAATCTCAGGCCGTTTGCTGGTAATAATTAAATGAAAATTAACTCTAGATTAATTTTTGCAGTGCATCAACGTGACATTTTTTCAATTACAATAAGAGCGTGATGACGCAGCACTTTACACTGCTGCTTAACGGAGATTTCTCTGCACAGGCAAAGCCCAGAGGTATTGCAGCCGCTTTCGACCAGGTGGGCAACTCTGGATCAATTCATTCCCTCTGTATAAAGAAGAATTTTACAACAAACACACCTTTAAATTCCTGAGCTCAAGGTGAACCTCAGTTAAGTGAAGGCTTAGCAACGATCCACTGCACATCACTGACCTGGAGCCGGATGTCATCAGCTGGAGCTGTGTCACTTCAGACTCATTTGGCTCGGCTCACACGGGATATTTTAAGGTCTGAGTTGCCACAACACAGACGCCTCCAGCCAAAGCCAGCTCCTCATGTCTGATACGCTGAAAGCCACTGCCACATTTGAGCAGCAGGAGTCACAACGCACCGCCGCATCTGTCAGATTCACATGTCAGGCACAGTATTGCCTGACATGGATAAACACACATCTGGCAGGGATTTTAAACAGATGCAGACCAATATAGTCTTCAACACGTGGTTGATTTGTGCGATTGTCTACATGCACAACATTCTCTTTATGAGAAAACTCCAGGGTATGTGCGTGATTTGAAGAGAGCTATAAAGCTGCTGTTGGCAGCGAGTTAATCCTATCAGAACATCTCAGATGGAATTAGCAGAGTCATGTCAGACTATTGCTGCCTTGCTGTGACAAGCAGCTTTTCACTGCAACACTTAACTCTGGCTTTTAATGACAGAGCCTCCACACACACAAGACAGAAAGTTCGGCAAATCTCTGTTTAGGCTCAGTCACAGAGTAGTCTGAGAGAAACAGCTCCAGTAACCAGACTGAATGTTAGGGCTGCAACAGATTCCACTGACTGATCTGGTTGTTGAGGAAAATGGAAACAGCAAGAAGCTGGAAGGAAAATTGATGTCATATTGAACAGCGACTGGAGATTCATAATGACCTTATGGAAAAGGAACTTACATCACCGAACCATGATTTAAAACTTGTTATACAACTAGTAACTATTTCCATCATGTATTTACCTGCAGACCATTTTTTAAAATCATTTGCTTTATAAAATCCTGCTGACAAACAAACAAACTAACAAAAAGACGACGGGGAATGTGTAACCTCATCAGGGGGGATAATGATATTACTGATTAACAGATTATCAAAATAGTTGCAGATTAACCAACATTGACTGGCATGCATTGCCATGTAGTTTTTAAGGCAGGATTAAAATGTGTATCTAAACTCAAATGAGTCTGTGATAGATAACAACAACAACAACAAAGTGAGGCGTGGGATTCCCCCCCACCCTCTACAGAGAAATAACAGCCTCTGAAGTGAAGCGGAGGAGGTTCAGTCACAGTAAATGATAGGAAACGATTATGCCGGGACATTTGAGTTGAGCTGGAAAACTACAAGGTCAGGGGGATAAAAATGTCAAATCCTGACATTTCTGGATCAGTTTAAATGGGTTTGGGGGAGGGGGAGGAGTCCCTGGCAGTTCTGTAAAGGATCCTCTGACCTTAATTGTATCACTGTGTCAAACATCATAAGCTGACCTGCCACAGCTCAGGTCCGCTGAGGTTTTACTTACCCTCTTCGGACACTTTCATACTGATCTTTTCTATTTTCAGGAAAACAGTATGGATGATGGATGTTCATGTTTGTTCCTTAATGGTTGCTATGACAACTCCTCTGGGAAGCAGGCAGCTGACCAGCTGTTATTTGTTGTAATTTGCTTTTGTATTGTTATGGATGTTTTTCTTCATGAAACCCTTTCAGTCGGTATTAGTAATATACACATGAAGACATTGTTACTGTGACTTCAGGTATCAGGATCAGTCGTGTATGATTCCCGCCTCGTGCACCATCACTGCATCATTAGCACAGCTTGATTCTGTGATATTGCGCTAATAAAAAAATAAAAAAGGATTCAGTCACAACCACGATTTGCTGAAGGGTCCTTGAAAGGTCTGAACTGAAATGTAATCAGTTATCAGGTTTGTTTTTTGCATATTTAAACACATTGAGAAAGGAGAAGCAGTTGATTAATGACTTGCTTGTTTAATGATAAATGGCTTAAAATATTAACTGCTTATCAGACTTAATAGAGACAGTGAGTACCAAGCACCAGCCTGATAAAAAACATATTGTTAAATTAAGAATGTGTTTGTGATTATGTTTCCAGTTTCTGTCTCTGCTGGATCCATTGTCTCACATTCCCTCTAATGACCTCTGCTCCAAGGTTATAAGTATTCCTCATCTAATGGTCGTCAGTGTCTGGAAACAATGAACGAGACCCAGGTAGCCCTGGCAGGACAGCAGGACTGGAGATTACAAGATGAAATTAGATTCTTATAATGTAAGATTTCATTAAGACATGAATACAAACTTAACAGTGATGTTTACATTTCTTCAGTGTGTTTTTGTAAATCACACATTATCAGAGAGTAGTCTGATTACCTTAAGGATAAGACCCTTG